CCCCTCACCAGAGCAAACACTGCAGCTATTCAGCAGCCCTGGGCTGCCCCCCACCCCCTGCTCCCAGGGTCACCCGGTCCCTGTTGCTTTGATACTTTCTGGCAGGCGAGATGATTTCAGAGGAGGGTTTTAGCAGCCGCCTGACCCCCCGACCCGGAGCTGTTCGCCCCCTTGGCTGGCAGGGGGGTGGGGGTGGGGTTAAAGAAGGGGTCAGCTAGTGGTCAGGTTTTCCTTAAAACAGGCCTGTGGCTTGGCCCCTTTAAGAGCTGGGGCGTGGGGGAAGTGGGTGCACTTGTGTGCATGTGCAAAGACACACATGTGGGTGTGTTCCTGTATGTGTGCAGGAGTGTATGTGTGTATACAGGCATGTATGCATGTGCTTGTGGGCACGTGAGCTTGCATGCATCAGTATGCAGGTGTGTGTGTGTGTAAGCATATGGGTGCACACAGGTGTGTGTACATGTGCGTGTGCACGTGTGCATAGCTGGGTGCATGCATGTGCAGGTGCATGCTAAGGTGTCCCTGTGTGTTTGCATGTGGGCACATGCGTGTGTGTGTCTGGGAAGCCTAAAAGGGAACAGCCATAGTCTGGATGTGTGCTGCCCTTGTATGGTGAAGGTCAGGACTCCTGGGTTAAGTCCTTGGCTACGTAAGGGAGCAAGGTCAGACCTGGCAGACCAGGACTGGTGCAGGATGTGGCCATTCAAGCAGGGGATGGGGAGTCAGGACACCAGGGGCCTGTGTCACACTGCCTGTGATGTCAGACCATCTCATCCATGCCAGCTTCCCCTCCACCAAGGCTGCTGGCAGACACCAGGCCCAGCACAGTCAGCTGGGGAGCAGAGCCAGCTTCTCTGCTCCTTCCCAGCTGGACACCTACTCCATCCAGACCTGGGTGCCCCCATGCCCTCCCCATTGCACCCATCTGGCCCCCAGGGCCTCCCCTGGCAGCTCAGACCATGCTGGCTCAGGGGCCTGGTAGCCCCCTCTTTCCAGTGGCTCACCTATCCATCCATCCATCCATCCATCCATCCATGCAACAGAGCATCCATCCATCCATGTATCCATGCATGCATGCATGCAACAGAGCTTCCTTCCTTCCTTCCTTCCATCCAACAGCGATTTGGTGCATCCACCCATCCACACATCCCTCCTTCCATCCCCCCACAGCTGCATCAGGGGACATCCAGCTCCCCCCACCACCCAGAAAGGCTCTACATCCCCTGGGAAAGACCAGGTTTGGGGGCAGGTCACATTCCAGGCTGCCCCTGGGACCTGGGATCAGAGAGCAGCTCCCTGCCCCATGCCAGACATTCCCAAGCCTCTCAGCATCCACAGCATCCCTGGGGTGAGCCCTACCTGATGCTCCCACATGGGGCAAGATAATGGGCTTTCCAGCCCCGGGGGCTGGGAGGTCGAGGCGCAGGGTCAGGGAAAGCCATCGCCCTCCAGCATGCTCCATGTAGAGGCTGGGCAATGGGAAGAGACCGCTTGCAGGGAGATTGCCTTGGTTTTGGACCCAAGGGAAGTTGGAGGGGTCTTCATCCAGGTTGGACGAGTGGGTTCAGACAGGGCCAGGCCTGCAGGAGCAGGCAGCTGGACTGGATGGACCCAATGTTGCCGTGATGCTGAACTCTGCGGAGGGCTCCCACGGTGCAAGGCGCTGTACAAACCCCCCAGCCTGAACCCTGCAATATGCTGGGATGGCGACGGTGCTTGTTGCCACAGGATATGACAGTGTGGTTATGCCGATGTTGCCATGGGTGATGCCAGCATGGCAACGGTGCTGGTGTTGCCATGGGATACAGTGGCGTTGCCGTGGGGTATGCCCACGTGGCCACAACACCGGTATTGCCACGGGATACAGCAGCACGGTGATGTCACCTACATTGCCATAGGATGCGCCATACGGCGACGCCCATTTTAAGGGTAGCAAACACCCAGTCCCCACCAGCCTGGCTCTGCTGCCTCATTGCTCCATGCCAGCGCCCACCCAGTGCCTGCTTGGCCTGGCCGAGCTGGGGACATCCCCCTCCCCAATGTCAGACCCACCTAGAGAAAGCAGCTTATTCCCCTGTGGACCCTCAAGCACCCCCATCCCACCCCCATGGCCCTGCTGGCATCCACTGGCAGGCAGGTGAGGCCTGACGAACTTGTTACAGGTCATAAAGGGGGGCATGGGGCCCATAGGGCAGGTTCAGCCCTGGTCCTGGATCCAGACCAGGTTGCACCTCCCCTGGGTTGAGGTGGGAGATGACAGCTGCCCCAGCCCTGTCTGGCTCATGATTACGTGGCTGGGATCCTGGTCCTCAGCCTCACATCGCCCAGGTACTGGGGGGCCTGGGTGTGATGGGACCCTCGATCGGGCGGTGTTGGGAGCAGGGAGCTGAGTGTGACCTGCCCCAGCCCCCCTGCACCCCCCAGCCACCAGTGCCTGCCAGGCCGCTGACGCCTGGCTGCATGGCCCCATCCCCACCTGGGCTGGAGGGACGTGCCCGGGGGCACCCAGCAAATCGGTGGCAGAGAACCCAGGAGTTCTGTGGCCCAAGCCCAGCCTCCCGTCCCTTTCCCCAGGGGCAGGGGGTGCAGAGCCGGCTCCCAGTCCCGGACTACGATTGCGATGATGAAGTCAAACTGGTGGCGTGTGGCTCCCCCTAGTGGACAAAGGAGAGATGGCCGCCTGCTCCCACGCTCCCGGCCGCTCGTGAGGCCTGAAAACTACAACTCCCAGCAGACACCGGGAACAGCCCCGCAGGGGAAGCCTGGCCAGTGAGCGCAAGGCCTCCTGGGAATTGTAGTTCCCCGTCCCCTCCGGCTCCCAACGTGCAACGGGAAGGAACTACATTTCCCAGGACGCACAGCGCGGCGGGCAGGGGGCACGGACGCGCTTGCGCAGAGCAGGGCAGCGCCCAGGAGCAACCGGGACTGCAGGAGCTGATACCTGGAGTTCAGGTAAGGCGGGTTGCACCCCCCCCCCTTGTGCCCCCAAACCCTGCCCGGGGTACTGGCGGGTCCTGCCTCAGGCTGCAGGGCAGGGCAGGTTCCCATGGGTCTGGGCTTTGCTGGCTGCTACGTGGGGTCAGGAAGGCTGGTATCCAATCCACCCCCAATCTCCTCGTCTCCAGACTCAGTCATCTGGGCTCTTTCCGCCTTTCTTCATCGGTCCCTTCCTCCCAGGCCTCCGACCCTTTCTGTTTCCCCGCGCTGGACCCTCTCCAGTTTGTCCCTGTCCTTCTTGAAGTGCCGGGTACATAAAACAGGGGCGGGAGTGATGGTCGCAGCTTCCAGAAGGTTTCAAGGGAGCAGAGAGCCCCAGCTGGTGCCCATGGCCCCTCCAAGGAGCCTGTGGATGCCACCCAGCGAAGCTGCCTGGCGATGTGTCTGGGTGAGGGTCGGGAGAACGGCCCCACCAGTGCCGGGGTCCCCCCGGCTGCAGCCCAGGCTGGGGGTTGTGGCTGGGCCAAGCCAATAACCCTGGAGGGCCGTGCCCCTCTGCTTAGGGTCAGCCTGCTACTGCGTTGGGGGCAGGAAGGGATTTTACCCCCTGGGCAAACTGGCATAGACTGGGGGAGGGGGTTTGCCTTTTTCTGTAGCCTCTGCCTTAGTCTGCATTTAACCCCCCTGGCAGCGGCAGGACCCTGCCAGCCCCTGTGCCCTGGCATCACCTGGGGCAGATTCAGGGGCTCTTTGCGCCAACGTGCCTTGTAGTTGTGCCGCGAGGTTGATGGTGTGATGCCAGGACTAGGTCAGAGGAGGATGCATCTGGGAAGGGTTGCATTGTGGGGGTCAGGCTAGATCTGACCTCCGGTTGCATCCTATCCTGGACACGGCCCTGACTCCTCTCTGTTCTCTGTTGCAGCCCCTGGCGCTCGCCCCTTTTAGATGCTTCCGGCCCGGCTGCTCCCCTTGCTTCGTGCCCCCCTGCAGCTGCTCCCCCGCCTGGCCTCTTCCACCCCCATGGCTGGGGAAAAGTCGGTGGAGGCGTCCATCCGCTCCAAGCTGCAGCGGGAGCTGGAGCCCACCCATCTGGAGGTGCATAATGAGAGCCATCAGCACGCTGTGCCCCCCGGTGCCGAGACCCACTTCAAGGTGGTGATCGCCAGCTCCCGCTTCGCCGGCCTGCCCCTGCTGCAGCGCCACCGGCTGGTGAATGAGATCCTGCAAGCTGAGCTGGCTGGCCCCATCCATGCCCTCTCCATCCATGCCAAGACCCCGGAGCAGTGGGACCAGAACGCCGGCGTGAGCCCCAGCCCTGCCTGCCTCGGCGGCTCCAGGCACGACCCGCACGTGGCTGAGAAGCTGGGGAGCCAGGGATAGCCTGAGGGGGCAGCATCAGTGGGGAACTGGGGGGTTGGTAACTGGATTATAGGCATTGCGCTGCTATAAGGTGTGATGCTTATTCTGTGCCCACAGCCCTGGCTGCGTCACTGCCCTTGGGGCATTGGCAGCAGGGAGGGTGGGGGCACCTTTGGCAGGATGGTGACAGCCTTGTTCCTGGTAGCAGCTGACCTAGCTGCCAGAGCATGCACACGGGTTTTTCATGGAGGGGTTGTGCCTGTGTCCCCCCTCGCTGTGTTGAGCATCCCGGCAGAGCTGGGTCGTAGTAGGGACCGAGTGCCGTGATGTCCTTCCAGCTCTCAGCACCACGTGTTGAAATGGGGAGGGGTGGGGGGTCTTTGCACTGTGAATAAAGCCTGTGCTCCATCAAGCCGTGGGGAACGTATCCATCATCATCTGTGGCTTTGGGTTTGATGGCTGGGAGAGTTGGACCTTACCTTGCATTTTGCTGGCTTATTCTTTCTATCCCCTCTTATGCAGCAGGGCACGGTCTCAGCTCTGTGCACCCCCTGGTGATTTGAGCCTAATTTGCATCAAATGAACTTTTCCACCCTGGGGAACCTATAACATCTTTTTATTCTGTGCAATATGTAGTTTCATTTCTACCTGGGAGAAATGTTACAATTTGTGCATTCTCCTTTGCCTGAGGAAAAGTGAGCAAGCCCAAAAGCTTGCAAGTAAAGACATTTTTTGCAGCTATTTAGTCGGTCTAATAAAAGATATCACCTCTGCCAAGGGTTCTGCATATTTCCCCATGGTGATGGGGATTTCAGCTCAGGCCTGTCCCATCCTCCCCTTAGGATCCACTGGCCAGCAGGAGCTCTTGCTCCCTCTCCTGTCCCTGCCCAGACCCTGCAGGAAAGAGTGTACTTCCACCTTCCTTATCTACAAGGCAGAAAGTCCTTTCTGCTTTCTACTCCCAACCCCACAGCCAGATGTGCTGCATGAGAAGGGGCCTGAATTATAAACTTTTAATGTGTTCAGCTTAGACTGGCAGAACTCGGGAGAGAGACTGGTCAGTCATATGCATGTATGTGTCTTTCATATGTGCACATCCACCCTGTGATGCTGGGAGGTGCCATCCACACCCAGGAATATTTCTAACCCCTGCAGCATTTTGCCTCTGCCCCCCCCCAGACTGTGGGGCTGCTTCAATGCAACTCTGATCTTGCCCTGTGTCTGTCTCTGACGTCTCTGCTTCCCTACCTCCTCTGGAAAAAGCAAAATCATAGAAATTAAGGGCTGGAAGGGACCCCAAAAGATCGAGTCCAACCCCCCTGCTCTGGGCAGGTATATTGCTGAGATCAAGTGATCCCAGCAAGATGTCTGTCCAGTCTCCTCTTGAATACTTTCAAGGTTGGGGCCTGCACTACCTCCTTGAGAAGTCTATTCCAGATTTGGGTTGCCCTTACCATAAAGAAGTTCTTCCTCGCATCCAACCTGAAACCGTCCTTTAACAGTTGATGGCCATTGCTCCTTGCCCTCCCCGGGGTGCCCTGGTGAAATCTGGAGCTTCGGGGGTGTTGGTTGTAGCCGAGTTGGTCTAAGGACATGGGCAGACACAGTTCTTTGGGTAAATGTGATGTCTTTTATCGGACCAATGAAATAGTTGGAAAAATTGTTCTTGAAATCCAACTAAATAGTTGGAAAAATCGGGAGCTTGAAATCTAGGCAGCAAATGGAGCAGGCGTGGGCTGAGCCCTGCTCTAAGGAATGCTGAGCCCCATCTCTGAGCAGTGGGCCCAGCTCTCTGCCCTGCTGATACAAACATATCTATTGCACGTGTGTTCTGCCGGCTGCTTCTTTACACCCAGCTCTGCCCATTCTTCCCACCACGTTTTTTCCCTTGTAAATAGAGAAAGCCGTGCAAAACGTGCCAGTCTTCTGTCAAGCGCTGCCATTATTGCTGACATACAACACACCTGGGAATACGATGCATGCCTCGTTTTTGAAAGGCAGCATGAAGAGGAAGAGCTCTTGCCTTGTTATAAGTAGCTGGGTAGCAGCAGCAAGGTAGTTTTTAATCATTGCTGAGCAGATTTTTACTTCCGCTCTTGCCCATAGCCAGCAGAAACTGCTCTAACCATATTTCTTGTATATAATACACCCCATCGTTTCCAGCTGCTGGGTTTTGGCCGGCGGGGGAATGTATGTGAGAAACTACAGCGTTTTCTCTTCCCCATGCAATTCAAACCAATCACTCACAGGCTCCCAAAGTGGCTCAGATTCCTTTTAATCTTTTTTATTATTATTATTTTTACATTGATTTTTTTTTTTTTTTTTTTTTTTTTTTTTTTTTTTTTTTTTTTT